TATACTGGTATAACATAATAGCAATAACCCCCGCCGAAGTTGGGTATACCACTTGATATTGCACAATTCACTCCATATATGCACTCGCCTGCGGCTCGTGCATATATGTCGTGAATTGTGCAATATCTCGTGGTATACCCGCCTTCGGCGGGAGTTATTGCTTAAATAATTCATATCCCCAAATACAAAAATGTTAAATTGTATTAAACGTCAATATTGTAAAAGAAGTTAAATTATATTACATCACTTTTTTGCTTCATATCATGCAGGAAGAAATCAAGAAAACCCGAAGATGTTTGATATTAGCCATAGGAGTGTGTTACCATGCGTCATTGAAGAACAGAAAAAAGTACAGGAATTATATATCTTGGAGTTTTGAAGAACAATTCAAGCTGCCACATGGTCCAGATAGTATACATAGCGACATAATGTGGTATGTTTTTGAATATAATAAAATAACATAGTTGAACTCTGGTGACCTTGCCCTTTGTTATATAATATCATTCTCTTTATCATAGTTTCAATATGAATATGCATTGTCATAATTAATTTTGAATACAAACAAGTTTTGGTGGAAAGCAGTCTACCAAATATCCTTCATAGATGTAAATATCATACTAAAACATTGGTGCCTAATTTGTTTAAATATTTTAAGGGACATAATTTCCACCTTTATTCAAAGTAATTCAGATATAAAAACAAATGTCTCATCGCAGCTGCATTCAGACGTGAATAGATTCATAAAACATGCAAGATAACAGGAAATCTTAGCTGGCTTTTGTACAGATGTGTCAAAAATTAATGATTCAGTGAGAGAAAAATGAACTGCCTTATTATATTCATTGTGTGACCACTGTATCATTTGAAAAGCAAAAAACGCCCTCCTTGAATAACCATAATGTTGCAAGCTATGCTTTGTATGCAAATCAACTTATATTGTCAGTTTGTGTCTAGTGGAGAGAGAAGTCAACAGTACTGATGACTCCAGAGAATCTACATCTTCAAACACTGCAATCTTTGTTTTTAAAGTGTGTTTTTAAATTAGTATTATAAAAGCTCTATCATTCTGTTCTAATAGCTGAAAGAAATTCCTGTGAATTTTCATTTTTTGAATGAACTGTTAGTCAAATTCCTGTGTATTTTCATTTGTTGAATACATACAATTTGCTTTTTATGTATTGTTTTTGATTTGATAACTATGGATTAAATATACATTCTATTAGCTTCAGATCTTGATAAAAGTTTGGCACCCAATTCATAGGAGTGCTTATATTGATTTTCTGACATCTTGTTTTCTGTAAAGATTTTATTGGTAGGTTTGCAAATGTGTATCAGACTGTGCAAAAACTTTCTCCATGAGTTGGTTTTGAGACCTAGTCTTGTATTCCCATGGGATTTGGGGAATACATTACCAAGGATATTATTACAAGATAAATAATTTGCTTCATTGAACACATACAACAATGCATCTTTCCACTGAGATCGGTGACCTTTGAATGTGTAGAAACAGTCAAAATATTTTATCAGATTTTCTAAATTTTTGCATGATATGTTCAAACATAACATCTGTCACTCATACTCAGGGAAGACATTATACTGATGAATAAAGTGACTAAGTTTGATAAAGATTGAAATACAATTAGTAAAGTAATTGTGCACACAATAATAATTATTAACGACAACAACAACGAAAATGTCGGACAAATATTTTTCCCTTAATATACCTTTCCCTCGTATTTTTGATGTTACTGGCAAGGTAAAAATGCATTGTGTGTATAAACAATACAGATAAAATTGTAGTGTAATATGATAGCAATATGTAACTACATTACAAAAACAACTTCTGTATACAGGTGTCAAGAATTGTTTATGGATGACGCAAAAGTGACTGACCACATTGCAAAAAATAAAAACCTAACAGAGAACGTATTCATGATCGCAATATGCCTAGAACTAAGAATACCTTTATTCATCATTGGCAAACCTGGGAGTTCAAAATCATTAGCAAGAACTATTATTGACAATACGATGCAGTCTCCATCATCAGATTCTAAGATTTTCCAACATTTGAAAAAGGTATGTGCTTTTAGAGTGTTTTATTAGCATCTCATATGTATTTTCAGACATGTGTAAAACAGAACTAATTTATACTACGAAAATGAGAATATTTAACACAACCTACATACTGTTATACTTATCATTTGTTTTGTAGATTCAGATGTTTGTTTGTCAGTGTAGCCAGCATTCAAGGCCGGAAGATATCATAGAAACGTTTGACCATGCATCTACTTACCAAAAAGACCTAAACCTTGATGAACATATTGGTGTGGTTTTACTTGACGAAGTAGGTCTGGCAGAGGATTCACCCAAAATGCCATTGAAGGTATTTACATGTTTTAGATATCACTGAATATGTACACATCCGATATTTTATGTTTTTTTTATTTGCCTAGAACACATCGAGTCTCATAAATGTCTGTACTGCCACAACCCAAATCTTCACACTAAGAATTAGTATATAACAAACACAAATTAAAACCAATACCCCTTTAGACTTAATGGACGTACATTGTGGTGAATATTATTGCATTGTGCAATGTTTATATATTTCTTGACAAGACACTTCATCCACTTCTGGAGACTGGATCTATTTATGACGAAGTAACAAAAGAGGAACCTTACAAGAAAGTTGGATTCATCGGATTATCAAACTGGCCTCTTGACCCAGCCAAAATGAACAGAGGAATAACTGTAGTTACAGACGTTCCAGACACAAATGAGTTGGTGAAAAGTGCAAGGTATGATGATACTTATTACATCAGAACGAGCAGTATCAAGTATGTCTATGTAGGTACATTGTTTAGATGCCTGTTAAAATGCCTAGCTCTTCTATAATAATTAAACTAGAAGGTAATCCGGGAGGCACGCCTTAAAATTACTTACAATGACTCAACAGTGATAATTGTCATGTCAACAGATAGGTTAGGAACAAACTAACTCATGCCGACATTCTTGTTTTGTAGATCTATCTGTGGTTCATTAAAACTGGTCGATGGCTTACTTGAACCCATATCCAAGGCATATAAAAAGATATTTGATAAATGTTTAGAAATAAGAGAATACTTTGGTTTGCGAGACTTTTACAGGTAAGAAAAAATTCATACTGCAATATACTCTTTTATTATGCAAATATATATTGAATAATTAGATTTTTCAAGGCGCATGTTGCTTTGGAACACTATCATGTTTAAGTACCTGTTTAAGTATCGTAAACATGTGTAATAATATTAACTATATTTGTTATTACTTATATCAGCCTTATTAAAATGGTTCACACTTTCTGTCTGCAACAAGACGAAGTGCCATCTTGGAATGTATTGAAACATTTTGTTTTGCGCAATTTTGATGGTCATGACCAGATTAATCCGGAAGAAACATTCAAGGAGTATTGTGAGAAGCACTGTTCTAAAAATAGATCTGTAAGTGAGTCTACTTTCCTGTGTTATATTGCTCAGGCATACTCATTACCTACCCAGACGAACTCATTCCAGACGTACCTACATTATCATTGATTTACTACAAAACAGTTTGTAATTATTTTATATTTTTGTTAGGATGAAAGTGCTATCCACTGTACAGTGATGGGACTAGTAAAATCAAACCTGGATAGTGATGGCTCAACAGGGTGTGTAATATCATTCGTTGTTTGATTGGTTGATTGATTGATTGATTGATTGACTGACTGATTGATTGATTGATTGATTGATTGATTGATTGAGTTGGTAGTGGTGATGTTTGGGGGAGTGACGGTACTGTGTTGATGGGTTGGTTGAATCAATGGTTGTTTGTTGGGTTGGTTGGTTGATTGATTGATTGATTGATTGATTGACTGACTGATTGATTGAGTTGGTAGTGGTGGTGTGTGGGCGAGTGACGGTACTGTGTTGATGGGTTGGTTGAATCAATGGTTGTTTGTTGGGTTGGTTGGTTTATGGATTGTTCAGGTTGTAGGTCAATCTGTTTCTCAGTAATATAAGTTCTTCTATTCATTAGTTGGTTCATATATCGTTTCTAAAACTCCAGGGAAAACAGATACCTTCTCCTAATGACAAAAAACAATGCAGCCTACAAAATAATACGATGCAATAAAATAAATGGTACGCCACTATTGAATGAGAGAAAAATATTGGTAATCTATGGCAGTAAGTTTAAAGCAGATCAGGAATATTCACAGGTAAGACACTATTTGTCTGCAATATAGAGTGAACATGAATATTCTAAAGGGAAATAGACTCGCGTTATTCAGTTGTTCTCATAAATTATATTTTCATATAACACAGTATTGTAATATACACGGGATAGAACTGTGGTCTTCAATACGGCTATCTCAATTATTCGGGAGGCCCTAGCTGCTGTCGAGAATAGTTATACAAACATATTGTGATAGTAGATTACATTTAATAAATCGTTGTTATAGATGACTCATGTGACGACTATGCTCAAAACTAATATACAGCTGTTTTCTTGTATAATTGTCAGATTTGTAAAAACGTCATGAGACTGAAGTACGCTATGGAAAATGGGGAAACAGTGGTGCTAATCAAGGCAGAAAATGTATATGAAAGTTTATATGATGTGATGAACCAGGTAAACCAGAAATATTCATGTTGTACAACAAACAATAATAACAACAACAAGGACCCGCTCAGTAATATAAACTTTATTATGAGCTTCCTAGAAAATCAGAAGCCATGTGATGTGCTGAATTTATATATGAATACTAATAATGTATTTACTTGTATCTCGCTTTTACTCTCAAGACTAATCAATACATAATGCATAACAAACATTGTCAATACGAAATATATCAGTATTTTATAGGCAAGCGTCTGATCATAATCATTTTGTAAAACAAAAACAACATCCTACATGTATTGTGTTTCTCACAGGGCGCCAATTACATTTAATTAAATGAGGTGAAACATGCGGTCATTTATTTGTCTCAAATACCAACCTTGCTAATTAGTATTTGACTAATCAAAACGGTGAAAGCAGATTTCTGTAGCTCAGGAATACACCCATGTTTTTTTTTCAGAATTACTCGCAGTTAGAACACAAACATTATCTGCCAGCACACACAAACATTTAGTACCAGTACTGCTTTTCTGGAAAAATATCCACAATGCACCAGTAACTGGATCTTTGTTTCAGCTAAAACTGGCTGCGTGAGCAATTGACATATGAACATTATTTAACAATGCTGAATTTTCGGGAACTATCCGGGTTAGATTAACCCAATATGGCGGCAGAATCACTAGACTAATCATAATCTTCAAATCAAATTGCACGAATTCTTGTTATTTCATGTCACCTCAAATAAATTTTATAATCTCGTTCAGTGGTGCTATTTAGACGAGCTTTTGAAGAAAGGAACATTTAGGTCGATATCATTTTGAGCAAGTTTAGTGGCCTTGTTGCAGACGTGGTTAGATAAGGCAATTCCATTTTGTTTGCTTTTTGAAAAAAGGATGTTATGTTCTTATAGATAACAAATAATTAATTTAATAAACAGGTCAGGCAAATACAATATATAATTTGACATTAGCGTGTAATACGTTGTTTATATTGGAAATCACATATTATCCTATGATTTAAAACATTTGATTTTCAGTACTATTTGAAATCAGGTGATTATTGTTATGTGCGCTTGGGACTGGGAACCCATCGATTCAGCTGCAATGTCAGCAAAGAATTCAGGTAAGTGCACGTTGTATGCGCATACCTTTGAAATTTTATTTATGGTAGATATAGTCGGGCAGGAGTTAATGTCGATGATTATTGGTTAGTATCTAAATTGAAATGGTTGGTTTGGACATTTGTGAAATGTAAAATTCCTCATATCCAACCACACAGTTTACATTGTTCTGTGTGATCGGAGGATACTCACCTTAACAATATACTAACATGTGTCTAATCTTTCCACAGATTGATTGTAGTTGCAGAGAAAGATACTGCTTTGAAGAAATATCCAATACCATTAATGAACCGGCTAGAGAAACACTATCTAGCTATGGAAAGCGTTTTGTCAAACAAGCAAAATATACAGGTGGAACACCACAAGCAGTGGCTCAACAACTACGTCGAAAGTGGCCAACCGGTATCTCGTTTTACAAGGTGCTAAATTCATTACAGATACTTGCATTTATTGTTTCACACTATAGTTAGAAATTGTTCAACTTAATATAACACCAGTATAGCCGAGCCATTTGGCGGTCGATATATTTGCATATTGACTTTTCAGTGGTCAATGACGTAAAATTTGGCTTCTGTGCTTGTGCAGACATTACGATCAATCTAAAAAAAAATACTGATTCACCGTTGAGGTTTGTTGGCGTTTTCTCACATTTTCGGCTCAACAAGGCATCTTTTAATACTTGGACCCAGTTATATTGGATGTTAGAAGTTGTAACCAGGTGATTGTCATCGAAGAAAACGATAATATTGGTCGGTCTGACCGCAGTCACCACATTGTGTACTTAGCGAGCGCTGGTTACTTGAATGACGTTCGGCATTCCTTGATTTATTGATGTGATATACCGACATTAAATTGTTCACTTACCCGGTAATATGTTGTTATATTAGGTGTTATTTAGGTCTGATCAGGTTCTGATTGATCTCCCAGTGTACAATGTTCTGTATTCTTTATGTGCGCCCGTGTCATGTATCGACACAGTGGTGTCTGTCTTGTAGTCTAAATTGTAACAGTAATTTTGGAAGGGATTATGGAATATAAATACATACCATTATTGGAATTTTGATAAACCATCTACTCGTGACAAACATTCTGGATTTTGTCATTGAAAACATGTTCAGCGGAGATTTGTCGACATAACTATTTAAAACATTTTTGTTCGGTATAATAAAAATAATACAAATATTGACCCCAGCATTGTTGACCGAAGCGGATCAAATCTATATTCCGGCGTCATTATTCCTAATTCTACTGCTTTTTAGGGCAGCGCATATTTTTGTTATTTTTTCTGTACCTAAAATTTTCTATTTGTTTTTCATTGCAACGTAGCGGCTGGATGCTAACCTGTGAATTATATATTGTCTTACTAATGCACATTTCTCTTAGATTACATTCAAAACCGTCTTCCTTTGCCGTATCCGAAGTAGTAGTTGGTTATAATGAAGACACTGTTGCTACATTAGTATATGATGTTGATGAAAATACCCATTCCGATAATGAAAATACCGATGTAGATGCTCATAATAATTCAAAAATCATTCAGGTAAAACATTTATTTTGTTTTAACAGTCTTTACGTAGGCCATGCGCCATATTCCTGTTGTTTACCAAGAGTAGCAGTAACCAGTAGTAGTTTTGTAGTATCTCAATGCTCAATATGTTGACATCGTGTGTATATTGCATTGCTGCATGTGATGTAATAATTTCATTGTTGTGTAAATATGAGAAAGACACGTGCGTAACACATTTGACATGTATTCTATTGCTGTCGCTGCCATGTGCATAATTATAATACAATTTCACGTAGTATGAGCGAATTATGTTGCTTTTTTATGTGCAATGCCATGCTAAAACTTAATTAATTCACTTAGGTGAAGACAACAATTATTCACTGCACTACGCCAGACTCGGTAATTCGTTACGTTACAGCAGCCTCAAGTGATGATTATAAGTGGGCAATTGATGAGTATTTCAGAGATATGCGTCACGCATCACTGTCACATTGTATTGATACAACGTTTACAGGTGTGTCCTTACCACATGGTCTCCTGTATTTGGTAAGATAATTTTCATATATTGAAGATGTTTTCATATATTTGACATATATTTGATATGATGATTATTATTTTTTGACACACACTGATTACAGATATACTAGTAGTAACCAACATTAGTCTCAAAATCACTACAAGTGCGTTATTGGTAGTAATTACCAAGATAATAGTGAAATTGTCAGAATAGCATTCTTTTATTCGATAGTATCTCCTTCAATGATATTTCATGTCTTAGTCATTTGAAACGGGTATACGTTTATTTAAAGGTGACTACGCACGGAAAGTTATTATCAGACACGTCTTCCTTTAAGACAGCAAGTGAAGTCTACATGGTGACTCTTCAACAATTTAAATCAGAACAACATTTCAGAAATGTATTAAGGTAAAGAAATTAGTCTACAATCTTTATCTCCTCATCCGAACAAACCCCCAAAATGAAACAAATATAATACAGAATTGAAGCCCTAAGTGGCAAGGGGCACAAGCTAACATACATCTATTTTAATGAGGTAACTGAATTACCATTAGGGTAGTTTGAAATATCTGTAACATGAGGTTGCTCGAAATGCAGTTGGATTTTGTTATTGGGATATGGTTTACAAATCACATAATGAGCCTTTTGCTTATGCATGCATATTGATGGGGTTGCACGATCAGTTATGGTAATCATTTAAGTCAGTTGCGTCTCCTGTTTGATGCCTTCATTATGGCACCGGTTGCATGTCTCATTTTGCAACAGTGTTCCAGATATGACTGTTATGCATAATAATGAGGTCACATGACCATATATGATAATCTGTTATTTTAGTCAGATCTCTTATTTAAAATATTCCTAATAACGCAGGGTTCATATTCCTAACTGCAACAGTGCTTACGATGTAACAGTTATATATATTAATGAGGTTAGAGGCCTCCACCCCATGGACACTCAGTTACAAGATCTAGCTATATGCCATTCGGCTGAAAGAATGTATCTCAAGATTATAATGCACATACTAATTATGATAGTAATCATACCTACAACGAATGTAATACCACAATTTACTTTTTCACAAAATTCAAGCTGTCGGCCAAACCACATGACTGATCTGAAATCTACTATTTCCGGTTTTCCGAACCAATCGACCAATCAAAATTCAGGTTCACATTACGGAATGTCAGTATGGAGAAATTCGGGCCATTAAGTTCAGCCATTTTCTCAAACGACTTGGCTTGGGCCCCTTATTATGTGATGGTTTGTTTTATTATTAGAGATTTCTATGGACGTACCTGTGATAGAGACACACTCTTGGTTATACAGTCAGTTGCGGGTCAAAAGTTCAACGATATGATATCATTCGCAATGTATCTTATTGAAGACGAACGCAACAAGATTAAATCAAGCGTAAACCATCACGTGGCCTTTGTTGTACAACTGCCTAGAACATCCGGCAACCAATTTCAGGGATTTTGGATCTCGCCATGGTATTCGATTCATATTGATGACGTAAACACTCCGTCTGCAGTATATGATGTTCAGTCAGTCAGGAGGAGGCCAATGAGTGACGTAATTCGCGATAGTCTGCTGTGTAATACGACGGCAATATTACGCATGTCAATTCATAATTCTACTAAACGACTTGAAGACCATTGGAAAGATGATACAACTGGAGGACAGCCATATGCTACAAGAAGAATAAAGATTCTTAAAAAAATTCTATTTGGGTCAATGCAACCAGGTGAGAAAAATCATCTGGCGAGTGTTTTGTGTGCCAGATTATTGTCTCAGCAGAATTTGTAATTGTGCATAGTTTTTTGAAAATAAAAAAAAACAAATGTGTTTTCCGTCGACAATTTTACCTAGTCTAATCTATGGAACTATTCAATGGTAATGGAACTCGGTCATTTACATAGGCATTCCCATCAAGTACCACTTCGGTCCAGGATCGACCTAGTGATCGATCAATCAATCACTCAATCAATTCGTCAGTCAGTTAGTCATTGAAAAATACGATATGTAGGCTTTCTATTCAAACTAAGTTGGTGGAGATCGACAGTGCAGCCTCCTTTTAATATTTATTCTATAACTCTGATTATACTGTTATAATGCGATAAACCAATATATATTGTCATTTGTACTAATGATAGAACGGTAAATATTAGGAATTATCTTTGTTTGTGTTACACCCGAATATACGACAACGTCCACAAATCTAAACAAATATCTAGCACATCCGGGTCATAAAACCAAATTAAGAAAAAAAAAGTTGAAATCAGTAAAGTAATTGTGTATTCATTTTAGTACTTTACTATATCTACCGTCCAACACAGGTCAAAGAACATACGCGACAGTCTTCAAAAAGAGAATATACCCATTGCTGCAAACACGAGATGGTGGGCTAGATGATAATGGGAGACGATGGTGTGAACAGATTGCAAGAGACCATGGGCGTTTGAGAGATTCTGGGTCGTTCAGATCTGCTCTTGAGAATAGATTGATTGAAGTAGTGGCACCTATACAGGCTGAGTTGTTATCAATACTGGACAAGAATGGAGGACTCGACTTCATTGGAGATTATCCTCCTGAAAGCTGGATACATAAATTTGCAATGGATATATTTGAAGATAATCGTATTATTATTTTCAACTACAACAACTTCCTGACTGCCGAAAGGCGATTTCGAGATACAGTCTTAGTAATGCATGATTGTTCCTCAAATACCATGATGTGGAAGCTTCCGTTTTCATGGTTAATATTTAAACAATTAGAAACCTCTTTATCCGCCGTTGAAACATTGACAGGTAAAGTTCACTGTTACTTGGATATTCTTTACTAATTTAGATGTTTCAAAATGATCAATGTTACTATATTATTCACAACAGTATTAATTTTATTATTTCTTTATCATCATAACAGATGACGCTATTGAAAGAAGTTACCAGCTTTGGAAGACTGTAGATAGCTCCCCATTAGGAAGTATTATTCAGCGAGCTTTTGATAATGGATGTGAGCAAGAACTATTTCGATTTTATCTCAATGATTTTGTACACCTTGTGTACAAGGGAAGGTCCCCAGACGAAGTTGAGGTAGGAATACTGTTTCAATATTATTTTAACATGATATTAGAGACGTGATCACAATCAAGCTAGCGGTTTCCGGCTCGGTCTCCACGGAGCTCATGGCAGCTACCATCTCCTCCCAGGAACTACACTTTTAATTAGGTCATACGGCAACGGTTTTTTTTTTTTTTTGACTACAAACAAGTTCAACTAGTCAACTAGAAAAAAGTAGCTCCTCGGTTCAAATTTCAGGGAGCCGGTAATCCTATCTTGTTAGACATTTCCAATTTAGTGTCAGTGCCTTCTGGTCAACGAAAACGTCTTAAATATATTTTATCTCGGTGGTTTGACGTAATAGTATTTTTTTGCTTTGGAAACTGTGTACCGCCTATCCAGTGTGGTTTCTAAGTTATGAATTACGGCGTAATATAATTTGATTGTTACTATAAATATAGCTGTTTTTTGTGCCAGGCGACTGTTGTATCTCCTGACTTTTTTGTATGTGCAAATTGCAAGTGCTAGTGCTGACACATAATGCATTTTGTCACAGAAGTCATTTCCTGTTTGGGACTACATGACAGGGCTGTGTGGCCATCTCTCTATCAAATGGCAATTTAAGGTTTCCCCAAAGTCGCATTCGTTTGTGAATGAATCTCGGCCAGTGGATTAGCCTTCCCATTGAGTCTGCGGCACACTCACCCAGGTTAGGGGTCAACCCTTTTGATGTTCAGTCTATGGTATGATTTGAACTTGGGTCTTGAGTCTGATGCGACAACCACTATGCTACCTGTGACCTGTTTACAGCTCTTAATAATTGTAAAATTATAAAGTTGGTTATTTGGAAATAATTGTTTTCACTCAAGTCATCGGATGTTTAACATCATCATGCAACGTGACACAGTAAATGTTTACGGTCCATAAAATCTACGCAAATCCGTTCATGGTGACTCTCATGAAGAAAGTCGCTGACACGTATTTGAGACGCATAATTCCGTTTTGTTGTCGGCAAAGCACGTGTTTTTATTTCAGTGCGATCCATTATAATTCTTCATTATTATTTTTGGAAAATAATTGTTTATTACCAAACGCTTCAGCGTGGTATTAAGATTTTGTTTTCAGGCTTGGGTGGTACCAAAGTGGAAAATGGTTGCACATATGGGGGGTAATTCCTGGAATTGCAATAGAGAGGGTTCAGGCCGAAATACATATATATAGTGTTTCCATGTTTCGTCTGATATTTCTGTAGTATTCTGTTGCTGTAAATAATGCAAGATTTGTTCCGAAATTCAGTGTGTTATGTGCGCTCCAGGGTTATTTTTTTTTGCTCAAAACACCCCTATTTTTTAATGGCAGAGTCGAATAGTTTCACTCCCACTGGGAAATCTGCATTGTTACTTGAATGAGAGCTAACTAAACACATTTTCCAGACCGGCGAAAGTGAATGCAACAGCCAATTTTAACAGCCTGTCACATGATTTTAGTCTGAATGTCAACATCAAAAGAGGCTAAT